TGGTCTTCAGCACTCAATCCTCCTGCCTCCACCTCCCTAGTCTTGAGATCACAGGTGCACACTTAGCTGCCTGGTTGTTCCTTCTTCAGCAGTGCAGCGCCCAGGTTTGTGGGCCCATCCTTTGTGTGTTCGCTGCCTTCTTTTGCTCTCTTGCTTAATGATTCAGGGTTCTCTTGTTCCTTAGAATGTCCTTGTTCCCTCTCTGTGTTCATCAGTTTCTGTTCTAGGACTCAGAACCATAACTCACTCATAGAGATTTTATTTTCTTCTTAATCAAATAGATAGCAGGTTGCCAGTGGGGGAATACTAATACTCACGTATCAGGTTCAGTCAAAAACAGTTGAAAACCTCCTCAAAACAACCTCCTCCAAAGCTCTTCAATCTTCTGTTCCTCTGCCCATCTGTCTATTTATGTGGCTACCGATTACTATCTTCCCACACACCAGAATACAATCAAGACTGACACTTTAAAAGATACACCAGCACGGCTCTCGCTGCTAAGAATGTACCTATCGCTCACTTAGGCATTAACAACCTTACAAGACTGAAATTACCATTGTCTGTATTCCCAAACAGAGGGCGTTGAGACACAGAGAAGTTAATTGTGCAAGGACACACACTGTAAAACAGTACAGTGAATTCCAGTTCTGGCAGTCTAGTTCTAGCATATATAACATCCATAAGATAAATATGCGCATGGCCGTGTGTACAGGGTATAGGGAAAAATCTGTAGAGTAAACAAACTTCTCCATTATCAACTTTAGGAAATAAGACTGGTGAGGACAGAAGGGTTGTGAAAGTTCATTGAAAAAGAAATGTTAGTTGAGAGTATGTTCTCTAGGGCCAGTGAGATGACTCAGTATGTAAGGGCCCTAGCTGCCAAGCACGAGGACCTGAATTTGATCCCTGGTCCCCTCACTGTGGAAGGAGAGAACTGACTTCCACATGTTGTCCTCTGAACTCCACTAGTGTGCTATGCAAATAATAAATAAATGTAATAAAAATTTAAAAATAAAGAATAAGTGCTCTATTTGAAATATGAAAGAGGAAGAATTTTAAAGCTTTTAAAACAAATTATACTGTCTAGTTTCATTATTCTTGAACCCTAGCTTTAGTGAGATTAATATTTTCAAAGTTCTGAATTCATTTTCACCATAAACTTATCAAAGCAAGTGTTTCTTACTTCGTTGGCTACTAAGGTGTTGCATTAGTTACATTTTGTGGCTCTGATAAAACACCATGACCAAGGCAACTTATAGAGGGAAGTTTATTGGGTTCATGGTTCCAGAGGGATAAAACTCCATCAAGGCTGGGGTGGCGTGGAAAGGTGCCAGAGTAGAAAGCGGAGCTCTTATATCTTCTAGCAGACACAGGAAGCCTGAGAGAAACTGGAAATGAGCAAGGCTATGAACTCTTAAAGGCCACTCCCAACAATGTGCTTCCTCCAGCAAGACCAAAGCTCCTAGACCTCTGCAAACAGTTCTACCAACTGGAGTCAAGTATTCAAATACTTGAAGCCTATGGGGGACATTGTCATTAAACCACCACAGTTGCGCAGTGTGGTTTGTTTAGAATGTCTCCACTTACCTCTGTTTCCCAAGTGAAGAAGGGCTTCATCCTCACAAATGAGAGTTCAATACATCACTTTCAGATCATCTATAAGAACCTCACATCATTAGTGTGGTCATAATAAATATCGTCTGTCACGACAACATGATGCCATGCTACATCACAGAAGGGTGCCACATGCCGCATCAAGGGTGAACACTTTAGCACTCCAGCAACTGATTTAGGCATCTCACTGCAGATAAGATGGTGGCATTAATTCACAGGCTGGTTGGCTCCTTGAAGTGGAAAGATACATGGAGTGGGGTTTTCTTTAAAAACAAGCAGCTTCAAGGGCTGTTAAGCTCATTCAACTCCTTTAGGAAGTGCACCTGAAGCAGGTCAGCTGAGGTTGGCAGTGTGCTAGCTCTTATTACTCCAGCATTCCGAGAATGCAGGGGCCCATGCTTCAGAGCTGCATAAGAACCCTGTTTGGCACCACAGTGTTTGGCTTTACTTGGTACTGTGGCCTCTCAGGGCCAGGCTCTTTTTCTGAGAGTCCAGAGTTAAGTTTCATCCTGCCAGGTCACAGGAAGGCAGGAGAGGAGAGGGGATGAGAAGAGGCTAGTCGTCTGGGTCAGCCAAGAAGGCAGGCTTCCTGTCATTTTGCCATTCCCCTCCCTGATTGCACCTAGGAAACATCTGGAAGTTTCTAGGAGCAGCTGAGGGTGCTACCCCACTCCAGCCTAGGGGAATTTCAATTGCTGGGGCATGAGCCAAGGCAGAAGTATTTTAAAAGAGATTTCCACATTATTTTAATGTAGGATCAATCTTGAGGACCACTGACATGTTGTTATACTTGGTGGCCTTGGGTTCACATTGATGTTAGGGGCACCACAGGGGCTAGATATGCTCTGCAATCAGTGCACCCCAGCACCTCACTTTCCTAGGAGGCTGGAAAGAGCAGGAATGACCTCCTTCCTGCCCTGTGGTTTTCTACCTTTTGCAATGTGGAATTGACTCCTACCTTTGAATGAATACAAACACAAGGTCGATCTGGTAAGTGGCAGAGGCTCTAGGAGGAGGTAAACAGATATCTAAGCAAGAAACACAGTGGCTTCAGGCAGGGTTTGCAGCATCATTTCACATAGATTTTTTTTTTTTCTCATCAGAGCACTCAGTGATGCGTCTATGGCCATTAGACAGGCGAGGAAGCTGAGGCTGGAAGAAGCAGAGGACAGGGACACCGTGGCTGCTATGGGGCCACTTAGAGCTGCAGCCTGCCCAGCTCCCAGCTCTAGGGCTTACTCTGCTTCCTCACTGCAACCCAGAAACATTGTCTTAATTTTAATGTTTCCTGCTTTGACATAAAGGACAAGACCTCCATCCACTTGACTTGTTCCTGGCATGTCAGCATTGGAGACAGGAAGATGAAGTAGTAAAAAATGAACCGGAAATGGGGGCCGAAGGAGCAAGGAAAAGCCACCAAGCAGAGCACCCTCCTATTCTTCCATTAACAGATGCTTTGCACACAGATTACCTCTAAATTTCTATTACAGTAGTGGCTGACATTGACAGAACACATAGCTACTTGTCAGTATTTTGGGGAAACGATTCATTCAATCCTCCCATCAACCATTTGTTGTAGATAACTGCATCAATCCCCATTTTACAGGTGTGGAAACTGAGGTCCATATTATTTAGACCATCTTGTCCAAGGTCACCCAGCTGGGAACAGCAAAGCCTAGGCTTGCATCTGGAGAGGGGGTGCACATCTCACGATAACTGTGCTGATTGTGCCTCCAGCCCTGCTGACTGAAGGCCCACCCTCACTCCGGGCCAGGACAGTTTCTACCTGCTTTCTTTATAATAGCTATTTACAATTACTGTGCCTGAGTGCACTTTAGACATTGGTCCAAGGGATTTAGTTATATCACTTAATCTCTTGACACTTGGAGTGGATTAAGAGGTGGCCCTCATGATGGCAAGGCTATTCTGCAGACCATAGCTGTCCTCAGGAGAACTCAGCATGCCTTCCAGGAACCTGAGGGAACCTGTGCCAGATGTTGGGTGGGTAGGAAAGTCAAGTCCCCATATACCAGTCTCAGCAGGTCTTCCCCCAGGCGCTTGATTATGGCTCTCAGTCATGTCTCATAAGTTAGTCTAGACTCTCACTACAGCCTCCTCATATTGTCCTGGACGTCAACGACATTGACACCAAGCCAAGCAGGAAGGGACAGGAGTTATTTGGTTCCCTTGCTATGCCTGGAGGACAGAACATTGCAGATGGCCAAGAGGTCAAAGAGGTTACTGTTAGTCCTGCTCTGAACTGGGTGGACCAGGAGCACTTCCCCCAGGCTGTAGAAAACTCAAAGGGGCCTTCTTCTCCCTGTCCTGCGTGTTTCCATTCATAGCCTTCCCTGGCTATGTCCTTCAGTCCACAGCTTTGCACCCACACCCCCCATCCCTGCTTCACTCCTTCAGTCTTCAGTGAGCATCTTTAACGCTCTTTGCTCACTGGATTTGGTTTTTCGTTTGTTATTTTCTTGTTCCCCATGAACTTGTAAACTCCAAAAAAAATAGGGAGTCTCTCCCTGTCTGTTCTCCAAGGTGCTTGGCTCACTTCTTAGGTGGTCAGTAAATACATGCTGACCAAAGGGGCAAAACCTCCTCAAACCTAGGGGTGATGGTATTGGTGATCCCACCAGTATCTGATTTTCCGAGTTCTGCTAGTGACCCTCTCTAATTCTCATCTTTCACATCTCCTAAACAATGTGTGTCTCCTTTAGGGTTTGTTGTTATCCCCAGCCTCTCTACATCTGTTTCCTCTATAGTGAATGAAGTTGCTCTGTGAATACATTAGTGAGATCACAAAGGCCATTTGGACTCTCAGTCAAGGGGGGGGGACTGCCACTGAGGGAAATGGAAATGGCTTCTTTATCATGTTCCTTTTGGGAATATGCAGCTTAAGTTGAAAAATCCTCAAAAGTTTAAGCAGATAAAGATGCAGTCACGACCCAGGCAGTGCGCTGATGTCCAGGACCTGCACAGGTACACCTCCTGTCAGCAAGGAGTTTTCTGTGTGCTGCCAAGCACAAAACAAGACAACAGAATTGGGGACAGATACCAATTCCAAACAATGAAAGGCGCCTGACCTTTACTTAGAGTGCAGTGGGGTTCTTGGAGGCCGGACGTTTTCTGGGATAACCTGCACAGGTACACCTCCTGTCAGCAAGGAGTTTTCTGTGTGCTGCCAAGTCCAAAACAAGACAACAGAATTGGGGACAGACACCAATGGCGCCTGACCTTTACTTAGAGTGGAGTGGGGTTCTTGGAGGCCGGACGTTTTCTGGGATGGGATGAAGATTTTGGAAGACAAAGGCTTTAGTGTTTACTTGGTGGTACGCTGCAATCTTGGTGATTTTTCTGCTCACTAGATTTTCTGTTCTCTCCAGATACAGCGAGAGAATGCCCCAGTAGTCCTCTGGCTTCAGGGTGGGCCTGGAGGTTCATCCATGTTTGGACTCTTTGTGGAACATGGGCCTTATGTTATCGAAAAAAACATGACTGGTAAGTATGACTTGGACTGCTCCCTTTATGCCCCCTTCTTTTTGACCTGTACCTGCTCCAAACTAATTTAAACATGGAGCCACTAGGAGTAGCTTACTACTTCCAGATTATAAAAACACAACTTTGTGGCAACGTCTGTCCAGAAGGAGGAGCCACGTGGTCAGTGTCCTGCCTGGCCTACTTTCTCCCTTCAAATGTGGGTGAAAGGGTCTAAGCTATTTTCTGGAAGCCCACTGATGACTCAAGCATTCTTGGCTTACAAAAACAGTTGATATTTATTACTATTTGGGTAAGCCCGCTTGTACGGGCCTAATGGGAGAATTATATCCCTCATTACCTACAGGAACGGAACACTTTATGATTCCATCACTGACACCATCTGAAGCCTTGAAAGCAAGATGCTGTGAGTGGGGTGGAGGGAGAAAGGGACAGGAGAAAGGGCAGCACCTGGCTGCATCCCAGGCCTGTCTCCATCTCACTGTGTCATTTGGGGGAGATTGTTTACTTTCCCTGGGTCAACATTCAGAGTATGAACCCATTTGTGACCCAGTGTAAAAGTTTATGTGTCAGTTCTGTTGACGCTGTTGTTTTCCTCAGCTTTGGGCGGTGGAAGACAATTCAAGGGGCCTGGGTGAAGGAGTGAGTTATAGCATAGGTCAGACTGGTGCTATCATGTAGGTTCTTCATGCTTCATCTTAGCTATAGATTCCACCTGGTTGGGCACATGTACAAGAGCAGAGAGGTGAATAGAGTGAAGGTGACCTGGTCTCCTGCTGAGAGTCTGATGCAGTGGCAGAGGCCAGGCCCAGTGATGGTGAGGGGGCAGGTGAGTATGCTGGGCTCCTGACCAAGGACGCTGTACCTGGACAGATTTGTTAGCAACTCGTTCTCAGATCCTTTCTCTGTTTGAATAGTTCGCACCAGAGAATTCCCTTGGACTGCTACCCTTTCCATGCTTTACATCGACAACCCGGTGAGTACCACACTACACTGTGCCGACCTCGCCAGTCTTTTATTTTTGTAATATTTTATTTATATTTTTATTGTATATGTATTGCCTGCATAGATTTAAGGGCACCCATGTTGTGCAATATCCCTGGAGGCCAGAAGAGAGTATTGGATCCCCTGGAACTGGAGTTACAGACAGTTGTCAGCCACCATGTGCATGCTAGGAATTGAACCTGGGTACTCTGTAAGAGCAACCAGTGCTCTTAACTGCTTAGCTATCTCTCCAGCCCTTTATTTTATTTTTTAAACTAAGGGCAACAACAGGCCACATATATAATGATGGTTCCGTAAGATTACAATGGAGCTGAAATATTCCTACTAATAGTATTTTTCCTATATTTTTTCAATGCTTACATGTATTCAGATACACAGATACTTCCCACTATTACAACTGCTTGTTGTATTCAGTACAGTAGCATGCTGTACAGGTTTATAGCCTAGGTGCAAGGGGCCACATGTCTGCAGTGTGTAACAGGCTATGCCATCTGGGTTTGTGTAAGTACACTCTCTGATGGTCTCATAATATCAAAGTTGCCTAAGTGTCCATTTCTCATACTTCTCCCCATCATGAAGCAATGCATCACTGTGCATCTTCAAAAATAGAGCTGTAGAATCAAATGTAATTTATAAAAAAATAAGAGATGGCTTAGTGGCTAAGAACACTGTTCTTGCAGAAGACCCAGGTTCAAATCTCAGCACCCACATGGCAGCTAACAACTTTCCCTAACTCCAGTCCCAGGGGACCTGAAAGCCTCTTCTAACCTCTGTGGGCATTGCACGACACGGGTGCACTTACCTACATGCAGGCAATACACACATACACATAAAATAAAAATAATACAATATTTTTAAAATGTCTACTTTATTTATTTAAATTTTTCCATATGAGTGTATAGCCTGCACATATGTAAGGGCACCTGTGTCCTGTGAAATGCCCTTGGAGGTCAGAAGAGGGTGTCGGATCCCCTGGAACTGGAGTTGTTAGATGGTTGTTAGTTGTTCTGTGGGTGCTAGGAATTGAACCTGGGTCCTAAGCAAGAGATATCAGTGCTCTTAACCATCTCTCCAGCCCCTCAAATGTAATTTATAAAGAGAGCAGACAGACATGATGGAACTTATCTGTGATTTTGGCACTAAGTGGCCAGGGCCTGAACGTCTTCAGTCTAAGTTTAGCCTGAGGATCACAGTGAGTTCTATGCCAACACAGGCTACAGTGTGAGATTCTATATAAAAAACAAAAACAATACAAAAATTTAGTCTATAAAATGAAAATCTTTCTTAATTTAGTTTTCCTTGTTCCCTCCTCTCCTTTCTTTATTTTCAGTCCTATAAAATATGATGCCCATTGAACTGTACTGCCAGGGTGAGGGATGGGTGACTTTTCAGTGATGGTATGGGTTGGCTGACTCGCAGGTTATTGTTTAATAATGGATTCCTCACCTTTCCTGTGGAGTTCTAGATATAAAGAGACAAATTTGGTGTCTTTCCCTTCCAAGGGGAACAGAATGCCTCATCTGAGGACACAAAAGGTTATCAGGCTCTCTGAAATTGGTTCAATAAGGCACAAAATGGGAGCATGGCTGAGGGTTAGCCTCTGCAGACGTGGGGTATCTTCGCCTGTTACCACAGTCTAACATCTCTCACAGCGCAGACAGTTCAGAGAGAAAAGAAGCAAATAGGAAGGAGAAAGGTCAACAAGCTGGTCCTTCCGCCTTATTTATCATGCAAACCCCTCCTTGTCTTAACTACATGTCTAAGTAGAAGGGAATGACATGTGTCTACTTGGGTATTCAGGCAAAAAAATTTACATGTGGTGGGAAGTGCATTCTTTGTACAAAATATTGACACAGTATCACTATAGCCCCTCCTTTTGATTTATAACTCAAGCATCTCTGAAGTTCTAGGAATAAAGCACTATTAGTTTAAATTAGTCTTAATTATTGATAAAACTCCCTATCTACTGAAGATGGAGTGGTATGACAGCCACGTTCCTCACAAGTAAAAAGGAGGAGGAAAAAACTGCCTGCAGCTATCTTTTGACAACAATCTACAGAGCTCCTTGGCAGGACAGAGTCAAACTTTTAGAGATGGAGTTCTGGGTTCTTCGATTCTCTGCCAAGACCAGGAAAAGTGACTCCCATGCTAACACTGGGCAGAGTCTCATGAGGAACAGCAGGGTCCCATGAGGTACAGCAGGATACCTGAGTGTAGCATGGGGTTTTACCTGGGTTTCGTGTCAGATGGGGGACCAGGAGTCCTCCTTGAAGGTTGGCTAATGATATATGGGGTGATGGTGGAGATCTGAAGGCAGAAAGGTGACTTTTGGCATCTAAGAGAGGTACCTCACAGTGCAGGGTCTATCTGACAGCCTCCCAGGCACATGTGCTTCTTGATGCTTATCCTGCTCATTTCTTCCCCCTTAGGTGGGCACCGGCTTCAGTTTCACAGAGAGTCCCCAGGGGTATGCAATCAGTGAGGATGATGTAGCACAAGATTTGTACAGGTAAAGTCCTTCTACTCTTCAGAATAGACACGCTTCTATCTCTGTAGGAAAATCCTCCTGGTGGTAGCGTTAGTACTGATTACTGCCCAGCTTCTAGAGAATATTTTTACATGGAGCACATCAGTGAGGACACACATACACAGAGGCCAGCAGACACACAGTTTCTTTTCCTTTTTCCCCTGTCAGTGATTATTGTTGACATGGTTAACAAAGAAAGTAACGAGCAAATATCATGAAGATGTATGTGTAATTTTGCAGCAACGTCTTTTAAGACAGACTAGAGGTACAACAGAAATTTCTTAACCAAAGATCACTCCTCAAGCCTTCCAACCAAATGTCTTAGAAGTCTCTGCTTCTCTTCTAAAATTGCATTTAACTTTGCACTTGCCAGAGACAACAGCCTTTCAGATGCTTGTTTCTCTTCTCTCCTGTGAGCCCTCCCTCCTGTGTTTCTCTCAAAAGGCTTTTTTTGTTTTGTTTTTGACTCTAGCTTTTTCAAGTCTTCTCCTACCTGAGAACACATTAGCCAATCTTGTTCTTTCTCCTTCCTCTTCTAAAATGTTTCTTTCACTAAAAAAAAAAACAAACAAACAAAAAAAAAAAACCCTGGAAAATGCAAAGTTGTGAGCTTGGTTAAACTGTATACTCACAGTTTTCCTTTCTTTTTCTTGCATTTATCTATTTTTAGCACACTTTTTAAAAGTACATTGACCTTTCTTAGTTGGTCAAATTTTTCCAGCCTATAAATTGTTGTTGGAGACCAAGTCCCAAATTCTTCCAGGGTTCTTGGACATCATTTGATGCATGAGAATGTACTAGAAGAATCCTGATGGTCAGAGCTCTTCTCATTCTGCTAATTACCCAGTGAGCAAATCCAACTTGGCTCCAAAGAGAAAGTGAATCTCTCAGGAGTCAGTTTTCTGATTTGGGATAAAAGCTTTCCATTACCCTTCTTTCTCCTTAAAGCGGTGAGATAGATGACTGAGGATAGAGGAAAGACCGGTCTTTTTTTCCCCCAAAGACATCCCCTCTCTTGTCCCATTGGCTGACCCAGAAAAGAATGTGGCTGTTATTGTCCACTCTTCTTTCTCACATCTCATGATTTTAACACTTGCATTCAATTGCCAGGAGGGATCCACTGGTATTTAAACCTCTAAGCTCAGGTAAAGCAGCTCGGCTCCACAGACCATGCCTCCTCTCAGCTCCAGCACTTTTTCCCTCCTTAGGCAGGATGGCAGTGGCTGTCCTCAGAAGTTTACTCAATCACTGTGCTCCCCGCTTAGCACTGTGTGCTCTCATTCTTCCCACAGGAAACCTACCCTACTACAACCCTCTGCTGACTTCAGTCCAAACAAGCGCAGTTGTTTAACTAGCAAATGCCCTGAGGGCAGAGGTTGTGTAGTAAATAAATGTGTCCACCCCTCGAAGCCAGAACATTGCAAAGTCCCCTCCTCCCTTCCCCCAGAGATGCTTCCAACTCCCAGTTGACCTTCCATGTGGCTATTTACTGCTGACATATGGTACATCTCCTCTTGCATGACATGTAAAGAGAACCTATTTCAAAGCATCCATTGTTTATAGCTGTTTCAGTTCTTTTTGCTTCAGGCCCTTAAAACTGGAAAATAGCTAATCTAGAGTAGTGCAGAAAACCGACTTCAGCTGTTTCCTTTATGGTTTACACTATTTGTTTCCTTTTGTGACTGGATTCTTCTCTTCAGCTCCCCAGATGGGTGTTTGCATTAAGAAGGTCACTTTGGAAAGTGCAAATGGGCTTAAAAAGCCATCCTTCCAAGAGCAGACGTTCTCTGTGCTCCCTTTGATAGCAACCCCCGACCCCCTCAGAAACTCTCATTCCTGTTTCCTATGAATAGTGCCTGGCTAGAAGGAACTGCCTTCTTAGGAGGCATTTACCATTCACATTTATGCTATTTTTTTTGTATGTGTTCAGAAATAAGTGTTTTCACTAACAGGATTGAGATGTCAGCTCTCAGTTTTGTTTCCCCCATTGACTGTGCTATTGAGTCACAGTGCCTCTTCAGTTTAAAACACTGTGACCAAAAAAATATGGTAAATTTCCTCACTTGGATATGGATATCCTGATTGCTGTTACTGTCCTTGAGTTTCTAAGTAGAGGCCATTCCTGGAGCTGAATTCACAGCAGTCAGCAGCTCCAGCCTCACCCTCCTGGAGCTGGGACACAGCAGCACACAGTACACAGCCCCTACTCTCCTGTAACTTGTGGTCTGGGAGTGCTCCTGAAGTTACTTTCTTGCAGTGAATGGACATGCTGTTGTCTTTCTGTCCCTATGTGGCTGGTGTTGGGAAATGTTTTGATTGGTCATACATCTGTCAAGTGCATTTCGTACACGTGGGGACACTGGGGGACTTGTACAAGTGGAAAGGACCAGAGCAGAGCCACCCCAGATGTGGAATGAATGACCAGAGGCCCCTCACTGTATATGCTAATGTACACATACACACACGCGCACCCAGATTCTTGTTGCTGTGTATGTTCCAGACATTGTTAGTGACTGTTAGTGCCTGTCTAACTTTTGTTGATAGGTATGCTGGCATTTTGCTATGGCAAAATACCTGAGAAAAATCAACCTGAGGATGAAAGTTTGTTTGGGCTCATGGTTTGAGAGGTGGCAGTCCTGGTCCCTTAGCATGTTGTTTCAAGACCTGTAGTAAGACAGAGCATCATAGCAGGGGCACATGGCGAAGCAAAGTTGCTCATATCACTGCAGGCAGAAAACAGAAAATGAGAGACAGGAAGGAGCCAGCAACAAAATATCCTCTTTCAAAGAGACATCTCTGGTGACCTGTGTGATGGCTAATCCTCGGTGTCAACTTGACTGGATCTGGGATTAACTGAAATGAGAGAGACCTTCTTAACTGGATCATCTGAAGCTGGGAGACACACCCTAAATGTGGGTGTTACCTTCTGATAGCAGCCCATATAAAAGGTCACAGCAGAAGAGAACGCCTGGCTCCTTGCTGCTTGCCTTCTCTCTTGCTGGTGAGTTCGTCTTGCTGAAGACTAGCTGATCTTTTGGAATTTGTCAGACCTTCAGCGCCAGATTGGGACTACTGAGACATCCAGGCTTGTGGACTGAGTGACTATGACTTCTCAGCCTCTCCAGTGTGGTGCAGCCATTGTTGGACTACTTGGACTCTATCCTGTGAGCTAAGCTGATAAATCTCTATACATATATATTCATTCTACCGGTTCAGTTTCTTTGGAGAACCTGACTAATACAACCTGCTTCCTCCTGAAGTTTCTACCTCCCAATAGCCCATTAAGCTGCGAGTCCATAAATGGACAAATTCAAATTCTTTCCTGAGCCCATCTCTGACTTTGCTGCCCTGAGGGGCCAGCCTTCAACACTGCATTCTGGTGATTGTTTCAGATCTTAACCACAACAGCTCCTGCCCAGATTATTTGAAACTTGTTTCTTCTGAATGTCACTTGTGCTTTTTAAGCATTAACTCCACCAGAACTGCCCAGATCCTTTCACCTTCCCCACCCCATACCCATCAGCTGAACTTTTCAAAAAGTTATCTGAACAATAGCACTCTCCTAGTTATTCTTTTAAGCTCTGTTTCTCATTGTCCTTGAATGCATCATTTTGCCAGCCTTTCACTAAAATTCTATTTATTAAGAGAAGCCCTTGGCACAATGCAGGTAAAGTTATCAGGTAGAGTCATTGGAAGATACTTGATTTCTATGGAGTGTAACATTTACATGTAAAAAATACATGGAATACATATATACTTGAGACACTTGTGTATCATATATTAGTAATTCCACTGAACTTTGAAATTGCACAGGCATCATTCCAGATTCCGTTTTAAGCAGAATCCCACCATGTCACAGCAATAGTCCTTGACTAACCTAGTTAAATGAACAAGTCATTTTGTGACTCCGGATTACTGAATTTACCCTTGGAATTATTTACTACTATGTAAGAAACAACAAATATTTGCAAAAACAACAAGAACAAAGAAACCATCCACTGAACCCTTAACTGTAAGCTAGAAACCCAACAGCTTCTTCAAGCTCTTGCTTTGGAAACCAATAGAGAACTCTGGAGTTTTCTGGCCGTGGGGGATTTGATTAGATTCAATTTAGATTGCTAGATAGATACAACACAGAATGTCTAGTTAAATTTGAAAGCCAAATAAACAAAGAATTTTTTTAAAGTGTAAGTATGCTCCAAAGGAGAGTGTTTAGGAAGATAGCCAACATAGACCTCTGGCTTGCACATGCATGCACACACATGTGCATGCATACACCACACACATATGTAAACACATATTTCCAGAAAATATTTGGACATACTATACTAAAACATATTTATTATTTATTTGAATTTCCATTTTAATTGAGCACCTTGGATTTCCATTGCTAAATCTGTCAACCTTAGCAACCCTTCAATAAGTAGCATAAGGAAGTAGGCTGTAAGTGAAAGCGTGAGGCCTGAGCTGTGTTGTATTAAATTAGCTGGTGTCATTGCAACAAGTAGGAAGAAAGAAGGGAAGTAGGTTTTGGCTTGAAGGTTGGAGAGCGGAGGATGGGGAACGAACCCTTATTTTCACCTGTGTTCTAAAGCCGGCTCACTACCAGCACGAACAGGGAAACTTAAAATGCAGCTTCCAAAATTTAGCTCCTAAAAGCCACTATAAATAACAAATGGAGAATGGACCTAAACTCCACAGCAGTGTTTTCTGGAGAACTTCTATGGAGCCCTTGAAAATTAAGTATAGCAGGGAATGTGGTGGTGGTAATTGTCGTGCGCCCACCGACGACCACCCCGCCAGCGGTATCGGTCGAGGAAGGACGACGACACGATCAGGATTCTTCTGCAGTAAGGCTTTATTGCATCTCGACAGGCAGTGCAGCAAGCTCTTAGGAGAACCAGAAGACCGACCCCAACCCGGGGCAGTCAGTCACTTATATAGGAAATTGTCCTCGCCTAGTACGTGGCAGGATTCTATTGGATCACCTGATATAGGTCTCTTGGACCTAGGCGTTGGGGATTTCCAGCGCATGCTCTGTCTAGGTTGTTTACCAAAATGGTAGCGGGATATCGGCGCCATCTTGGCCTTGGCCTTTGTCTTGGGCCGCTCCCCATAGGTAATGACCTAGTTTTGTCTCTTGGTAACCCTCGAACCTTCTCCCTCTCCTGGGTTTCCAAGGTAGCCTTTCATCTTCCCTGGAGGGTTCTTAGTTTTCCGTCCCTCAGCAGGAAGCTGGGACAAAAACCCTGCCTGGGCTCAGCTCTTGCAGTCCAGCTCAAAGCAGTCACAAAGCCCCTGAATTTCAAATTCTTGTCTCCTTTTGGGGACTACTTTGGTAAAGACAGTAAAAGTTATCTACTCTTGTTTTTGTTTTGTTCTTACAGTAGATAAATCCTCATGCCTATATAAATCTATTTCAGCATAGCTCACTGAAGTAGTTGCTGTAGTTCTTAATAAATATTTTTTCCTTTCTTTCTTCCCTCCCTCCCTCCCCTCCTCCCCACCTCCTTCCCTCCCTCTCTCCCTCCCTCTCAGCCTCCTCCCTTACCTTCCTTTCCTCTTTCTCTCCCTCATTCCCTCCCTTCTTTTCTTTCTTTCTCAACTTCGGTATTCTTGCTTATTAAAACACTGGCATTCTGGGAATTCTGTCAGAAACAGTCAGAGTCTCTCACAGTGGGGGTTGATAAGCAGCTAAGGTTCCCATATCTCTCCACAGCGTCATAAGGTTCACATGAGAATTTCTTTTAGGTGAACTAACATCATGGGCACAAAGTCCCCTGAGCAGCTAGATGATCTGAGGTAGCGATCAGAGATTTGGAACCAAGCCCAGTGTTGATGCCTGCTGCTGGCCATATTTCTTAGTATTGCAGAGTAAATTCACCCATTTTTAACTGTCCACACAGAGGTAGTGGTACGCATTTGGGTCCGAAAAAGATGAGCTCACAGCAAAATGCTATCTAATTTCCATTCAGACACCTATAGCCAAATAGTGAGGCATGAAAGCAGTTCTTTGATTCACTTCTCTGATTCGTTTTGTTGTTCTTTGTTCACAGTGCAATAGTTCAGTTTTTCCAGTTGTTTCCTGAGTATGCAAAGAATGACTTCTATGCCACTGGGGAGGTGAGTTGATGTTTTCTTTTCTTGTGTACCTCAGGCAGCACCAGGACTGAAATATGCTATGATAGTTATGGCATATATATATATATATACATTCATGTTACTATAAACTCAGTTCCTCTTCACAATTTCCCAGTTGTTTCCAGAATATCCTCAATAACATTGCTTGTGATCTAGGGATCAGTAAAAGTTCACACCTTGGAAAGGGTACAGTGAGCTACCCTGTTCTGTCTTCTGACTAGGCCAGATGCCTACAAAGAATCCCATAGTCTGAACTTACCTGTTTCCTCCATGCTCGGATTCAGTGAGGATGCCATATGGATGGATGGTGGTGTGTCCTTTCTGGGAAGACTACCAGGAGCCATTTCATGGTAGTTTTCTGTTAAGGTGATGTTGGACTCAATCACTTGGTCAAGGTGGTGTTTACCAGACTTCACCATTTAAACACACCTGTGTCAGCTTATACAATTAATAAATAATTCAAGATTATGTGAGCATCTCTTGCCCCAAATTTCACTTAGTTTAGAGCCATTGGTTTTAGATCCATTGATGAGCTGTGTCTGAATCGCTTCTTACCTGGGGTTATAGAATGGCATTTTCTTGATCTGCTTTTGAGTAGATGTCATCCAACATTCTTCTATAGAGTCTTTCCACCCTCCATCTCCTCTGTGTATTCACTTATATCACTGTGGACCCAAGCATTGTTATTTCTATTGATCTATCAAAATTGATCACTATCACTTTGATACTCATATTATTCTAATTCTGGTCAGCAGATCATGTTGGCTGGCTCCTGTGTTCTTTTGATAAGCCTGATAGATTTTTAACATTTCCTTTTTATCAAAAATATGTGCTCCTGAAGCACCCCGTAATTCCCCTCTCTCAGCTCTGGAATTAGCAGTTTTTTCTAAGGACTCTGGCTCCTAATGGGGAGAAGTGTTGAAAAGCCAAGTCCAAAGCACAACGGTGCCCATTGCTACCTAGACAGCATTTCTTTTAGACCTTGTGACTCTACACTGATTCCTGGAACTTTGATCCCCACCCCAGTCTTTTCTGATTCTTCTCCATTGTATGTCTATTGTACCCGTTCTCTTAAATCAAGGAGTGTAGTAGCCAGTGCTGTGGTTTTACTCCTGTGCACAATCCCACATTAAACTCCAAATTAATTCAGAATTACTGCTTCATTAATATGGTCAACAAAAATCTCTCCAAGTTTTCTTCATCAGGACATTGTTTCTCTCTCTCTCTCTTCTTCCCTCCCTCTCTCCTGATCTGTTCTTGTTGTGTTTCATTCTGTCAAGTTCTTTACATTGGTGCCCCATCCCTCTGCTCCATCCTAGTAGAAGTGTACCTTACCAGCTCAACTTCTCTTTCTCAACAATTTTATCCATGTTCCTGAATCTCCAGTGATTCCTTTGGGTCCAATGCCCCTCTTAGAGCCAATAATTTGGTTAGAGGAATGGAGTAAATATTTGACCTAGGTCTACCCCAGTGCTCTGAGAGAGAAAGGATCATGATGGGGTATTTATGCTCTGATAAGGCTTGACTCTGGAATGAGGGATCACAGGAAGATCCAGGTGATGATGTTAGAGGACAGGCTGGAAGGATGCTGGGCAAGCGGTCCACAGATGTGCACACAAAGGGGCTGAAAGAGCAAACCAGTCTCCATTCAACACCTAATTATAGGGCAAAATCAAACTATTTCTATGGCTCTTTTGCTTTATTTATTTATTATTTATTTATTTATTTATTTATTTTTTGTCTTTTTGAGACAGGGTCTCCCTGTAGCCCAAGCTGTCCTGGAACTCACTATGTAGACCAGGCTGGCCTCAAACTCACAAAGATCCACCTGCCTCTGTCTCCCGAGTGCTGGGATTAAAGGTGTGCACCGTCATGCCTGGCTATGTTTTAAGTTTACCTGTGATTACCCAGACTTACATTTAGAGCATGTCCATGAAATTTCAGTTTTAACGTAGTGCTAACCCACCTTCCCACTCTCCAACCTCTTTCCCCAATTGTTAATTGAAAATCCTTTCTTTTCTGAACTGTTCATCTGTTGCCATTCTTAGAGAGTCTGAACAAATAATGTCATTCAGTTTGCAGAATCATCCTTGAAAAATAAATGGATAAACTCAGAAATGGTTTTCTGCTTTCCAGTGTAACTGTGCTGGATGGAGAATCCTTCACATTAGCATGCCAGGAAGAAAGGTAGCTTGATGCTCTGAGGGGATGCAACAGTGCCTTGACTTTGGTGTAAGAGTCTAGAAATTATCATAATACATACTACCTAGCATTATTTTGAGTGTTTAATTAGATAATCCTCCTTAGATATTTTAAATAGTGACTGACTGTGGCAAGCACCCAGAACATGGTGCTTCTTGTTACCATTCATGTGGAAAATCTGTATTAATCCAATTAGAACTCAGAGCATATAGCCCAAGGCACATAGACTGGGGACAAAATGTTAATAGAAGCTCTGCTCACTTATTGTCAGAATGTGGCATTGCTTTCTCTATTCCGCTTGGGTTATTTTGATGCATATGAATGGGGTGTGTGTGGGGGGGGAGTGTATTTCTAGGGGTTTTGAATATGCCAAGCCAGCCTTTTACCACTGAGCTACATCCCCAAACAAAAATATTTTTAAAGGTAATGGTTTGCCTAAAAGATGAGGGAGCTTAGAAACTGATATTAGAAGTTTTATTGATATGTTTCTGAATGCACAGCATGTGTGAGAACCCACCTCCATCCTCAAACGCATGGCACACCAAGGAGAGCAGTGTGGGCCTGCTCTGTGCGTGATGGACAAGGGAAGAGCCTCTTGTCTTTTTCTGTTCTCTTCATTTCTATCCAGAGCACCAACTGGAATTAATTTTCTCTAAAGAGAGACAAATGTGTCTGTAAATCACCCTCCTCAAGGCATGAAAAAAATGTACTTCAAAAAAAAAAAAGAAAGCTGTGTTTAATTCCCATAATCAACTTTCTTTTAAGTGTTATCCTTCCAAGCCAGTACCTATTAGTGAGAGGGCTCTTGTTCTTGAGGCATTGACACACTTTAGAGCCCTCTCCAGGGTCCATGGGTTGGGTTAGAAGTTACAACAAGGCAGCCCTCAGTGGAAGGCAGGCAGGTGGCAGGTAGAAGGCAACTGTCTACGGTTCTCAAAGTGTGTAGCTGCATGTGCCATTTCAGGCAGAGAAAAATGCTGCCTGCAGTTATGAAAATAGCAGTTTCCAGGATGGCAGAATGTATGGTGAAAACTGGGCATCTCTTCTTTACAGAACAGGACTGGTTCTCTTCACAAGCACTTCTACAGCCATAGCTAGAGGACCGAATGTTTGCAGACCCCAGAGCTATTTATGTGTTAGTTAATAAGTTCGGTGGGGTGCTTTATCTCCATCTGCATGGGAAACATACTGTTGGGAGCATGGTGTCTAACAACTTCTTCATGGTTTGTTGAGCTGAAGGGACAGGCTCCCAAGACATGTTTGTTTGTCAGCTTTAATTTTTTCATGCAGTACTAAGTAGAATGCTAAAGGAATATTATAGAATAGCTTCATGTGAGGCTGTAATTAGGCAAAACTACCCATGGTGTTTCTCTTCAGAAACGTTACATCTCCCTGTCTTTGCCCTTCTCCCTGACCCGAATCCCTGGAGACTCTCCTCTGCGCCATGCTATGCTCAGCCTCCCGCTCTCCCTCAGCCCTCCGCTCTCCAGTGGCCTCATGCTCAGGTGGATTTCTCTTCACCTCTTCCAGCTCTATCTGGATCTGTCTATGTCTATCTGCTTCTCTTCCTCCATTCTGACTTATTAGCTCACTGCCCATTGGAAGGGCTCAAAAAAATTAGGTTCAATGTGGTTTTCCCTCAACATGTTTGTATTTGAATAAATAACAGTGTCTACCCACAGAAAGATATTTATAATGGAGGACTTAGAAGCACTGATGGTAAAGTGAAAGGGTGAGAAGGAAGGTGGAATGGGAGATCTGTTCTGGTAGTAGGCTGGTAATCATTCTGTGTTGGCCCCATTATTATCTTGTCCTTCCAGGGTTTGACTTCACTGAATCTGATGGTTGAAAGATAGCCTGAAAAAATCCGTTCACTTGTTTTATATGGAGATCTCATATTAGAACATTTGCTCAGAATGAAATATACAACAGCCATGAGCCATCTCTTGCTGAGTGCTATTTAGTGCATTGCTTCATTTAATCCTAAAAGTCCCTTTATAATTATCCTCATCTTAAAGATGACGTGACTTAGACTGAGGCTAGGTATACCTTATCAAGGCCATCCAGTGGCAAAGTGGGAGAGCCAGAATTGGAGCCTACATGATGAAACTGCAGGGTAAAAGATTAGACTTCAGGCTTTAGCTGTGGGTTGTAGCCTTGCATGGGGCAGTGCACTCTAGAGCTGGGCCCTCTGGAAACCACGCTGTCTTAGGACCTACCTCTTCTTACAAAACTGTCTCCCTTTCTCCTAGAAGGGAGTCTGACATTCCTGCTCAAATTTCCTGCAGCTCTGTAGGGTTATAACCCTATTCAAATATAAAAGAAGCTCCCTAGCTCTTTCAATGTCTCTATCTTTCTGACCAGGACCCAAGTTTTCATCATGAAGACTTGACTTTGATATAAAGACTCGAAGTCCTTGGTATGCAATTATTTCTCAAGTTTTGGAACGTGATAAATTTTATTAGATAACATTCAAGCTGGTTTAACTCTTGAGTCCATGACAAATGTCTATTTTTGATTACGTCCATCTGTATTTGCCAACATTGTATTTTAGAATTGAAAATGGATTTGCAACAGTTTCACAAGCTCAATATTATAAAAATCAAGGTTTAAGCTGCATCCCAAAGAACTGAACAAAGGCATGTGGAAATGTTTGCAAGATGGGCCTCCGGCTTTTAGAGAATATAGCCAAATCAAATCAGTACATATTTACTGATTCTCAAGTTGCATGGAGAAGAATGTGAGTAAACAGAATTTATAAGCTTTGTCTGATGGGAACT